TTTCATTTCCTGCGCCAACAATAATCAAAAGTTCTCCTTTTGACAATGGTTTTCTCAGTAAATAGGTTTCGTCAGTGAAAACGATAAACTGATTTTCTTCCCTAGCTTTCTTAATACGCCTGAGATACTGCAGTCTCAGATGTCTAATTTCATGTTTTTCTATCAAAATTTTTCTATTATTTACTGTTTTTTTCCAACGAAACCCAAGCTTATGAAATTCCATTTCTCATACTTTCCTTGCTTCCTGTATAATTCATTTCTTCCACAAATTTATTATGAATTTTTTTAAATGTGGAAACTTGTTGCTCAGTAAGATACAAATTGTAAATACATTTTTGATGATTTTTTATGTCTCTTGTTAGGGGTCGAGAATCCAGGTCTTTGTCCATCTTCAATATCTCTACCTTCTTTAGCAATTTTCTTTACGGTGGATAAACTAACACCTGCAATCATATATGCTCATATACCTACTCGCTTGCTCATATACTCCCAAGTACCCTACCTGTCAATGCAGCTACTCATTCTTGTATTTTATGAAATTCGATAAGAGGTGCATTTCCAGCTGCTTCCTCCTGGGTAAATTTCAAAACAGAATGTATAATTTCACGAGCTTGTGCACTCAGAACGCAATTTTTTACGGCACTCTTATTGTTCATTTTAATAATTAAATTTATTGCGTACTTAAATTTGCGAGAAAATGACCTACTACTTGTAATTATTTGTATTTGGCAACGTCTCAACCACTCTCAATTCAACTACATACAACTGTGTATAACTTCCACAAATGTTTGTCTTAAGGCTGTGTTTTATTTTATGATCAAAGTGATCACATCTAACATCCCAACAGGAACGCAAATCTGGAGAATAATAACCCGCAAAACATTCACTATATAGTCTCACCACATACATGGATATCGCTGATATAGATTAATGATCATTAAAATATGAAAAATGGATAACATTGATCTGACATAATAAATATACCTATACAGATCAGTGATGGATGGATACTCACTTTATGAGAAAAGAAAATAAGAACCACAAGTGTATTTTGTCTGATTTTATACTCAATTATTAAAAAAAAAAGATTGACATTGAATTTTGAATTTGTACTTTTTTAGGTTATTATATTCTTCTTCAGTTTAGTTGATGGCCTCCGTCTATTCAGGTATCTGTAGAACTCTTCGCACAGGGCCGTATTTAAAAACAGAACTCAGCTGGCTTGGCTGAATCGTTCTTGAACGATAATCGAAGTTCGGTTATATCGCGTGAATTTAGAGATGGATATTAACAAATCCGTAAATGTAGTTAACAGTTACAGATTTGCTAATATCCATCTCTAAATTCCAGTGTAACACCGGACTTTTGTTACCGAACTTCGATTTTAGTTCAAGGAAGACTTACCCAAGTCCTCCAGTCCCCATCTCAGTATAATATTGTGATCCTTGTATGCAGAAAACTAATAAGTATAGCAGAAAAAGAAAACCAGACATGTGATTTACTGATAGCTGCGGCTGATACTTTATGCACATTCCTTCTTTATAAATCAAAATTCACATTAATTTAGCTAAAAATATACTAGACTCTACCATAGAACGCTCAGTGTCTACCTACATACACCACACTACCGCATGACAATAAGACCATACCCACATTTAAATCTCTTATTTTATTTGTGAAGCGATTTAAATCAAATTTAGAACAACCTCATATTTATAAAGCGATTTAGATCAAATTTGGAACCCCATAACTTTAGAATTGACACTTATATAAAATTTCCACCCTAAGTTGTTTGACCTAGGTCGAAAAAGAGATCGACTTTATATTTATTACTTATAGTCTTTGGTACACAAATAACTATTTTATTTCTATAAATGATATTAAAAACGTGTTTCACATGATTCACATCTATAAAATTGTTATTAAAGATAAATAATTATTTTAGTTTATTAAAACAAAAATAAAACTGAATCGATAACATATCACTGAAAAGTTGCTTGAGATGGGGACGTTCTTATGGAAAAATTTAATGTTACTATTTTATTAATAATAAAGCTACAGTTAATTTATCTCAGTGTTTTATTTAAATGTTAATATATTACCTGAATGAAATTAATGCCGCTAGAAGGTTTTAGGCCTCGTCACTTCAACTTTTTATGCTCCCAGTAGATATATTGGTGTAAAGAGATATATATTGTTTCTACCAGGCAACAGTCTCCATTAGATCGTTCTTGAAAAAGGCCTACAGACATGGGTGAGATTACAGAAGGTCTGCAACTTTGTAAATCTGCAAATATGGCAGACTTACAGATGCAAGTATCAAGTTTTCGTATTCCAAAAAATTTCTGCAAATTCGCAATATTTATTGTGGTTTATTACCCTCAACAACACTAAACCCAAATCCCTCCTTAATGGTAAGATTACGGAAGCTCTGCAAATCGTACTTGCATCTGCAAATATCAGTTGCAGTTGCAAAAGAGAAACATGGTATTACAGAAACGTGTTTTCTCTTTTTGCATCTGCAAATCACCAGTAACTTTGCATAGCAGGTTAGAACATCCTACAAACTTGCAAATTGTCAATTTTTACTTTACTTTTTTTTAATAACCAAGAAGTCTTCTGTTCCTTTTGATCGAATACAGTTCGTGGTGTCAGATTATCGAGTTTTTAAACATAGTAATACATGGTTTTGGGTTTAGTATTGTTGGGGATAATAACTAATAAACCACAATAAATATTGCGAATTTGCAGATATTTTTTGGAATACGAAAACTTGATACTTGCATTTGTAAGTCCGCCATATTTGCAGATCTGCAAAGTTGCCGCCATATTTGCAGATCTGCAAAGTTGCAGACGTTCTATAATCTCGCCCTATATCTAAAGGTAAGTTTTTAACAAATTTATATATTGGTCTATCCATTATACAAATGACTTTCAAAGCACGTTTTACTTTTGTTATTCTTATTCTTAGTAAAAAATGATAAAATTTATTGATACTTATTAAATAAAAGTTTTTTTTTGAGATAGGTGGTTCTGATTCCATATAAATTTTTTCAATATTTTTAAAAATAAGTATAACTCTGCCCAAATTTTTTTATTGTTAAGTTTCAGAAATATTAATTTCTCTTGATTTAAAAACAAGTACATAAAATGGCCGAAACGGATCTGCAAAGGCACTTTGTGCGCAATCTCATCCTGTGTCCTGTGACGTATGCGCGAATTCAATTTGGCTTGCTTTTTGTTGATAAGGATTGTTGTTAGTTCACTGGCTAGAATAAGTCATATCATTGTGTCATATTAATGTTCTAATAAGTCTAATAACTCGAAACAAAAGCTACAATTAAGATAAAAATAAATCCTTATTCAGTTAAAAAAATTAATTTCAGAACTTCTTGTTTACCTACCAAAATCTCACTTCTGCCCGCAAGTTATGATATGGCAACCCTGTGCGCCTGATAGAGTCAATGATATACACTTATAGAGATTGCTCAAAGCGACGGGTAGCCTCATAGACAAATAAAGGGTAGCCTCTTTAAATTTTCTATGGGTAGCCTCGCGAGCGGCCATGTTGCCTCGCAAGTGCTTGTTAATCAGAATCAGTTTAGTAAAAATCTATTTTAAACCAGTTTTCAGCCTTTGAATATAGTAAAAAAAAATAAGCTAGCGGATCCGCGTTTTTCTCAGGTTCAGTACAAGCTACAAAAGGGAGACTAGCGTAACAAAAAAGCTACAAAAAAGTTACAAAAAAACCAGCTGGGTCTGAATCTGTGCCGCTACTATGGAAATTCAAGCTAGCGGATCCGCTGTTTTTTCGGACCTGGGCAAATCTACAAATTCGCAAATAGCGTAACAAAAAAGTTACAAAAAACCCACCAGGTCTTGTATGGTGCCGCCACAGAGTGCCCGCTAGCTTGATATAGCCACATTTTTACTTCAAAGCCTTCAAGACATAACCTTATGTTTAATTTGAAAAACATGGATGATCAATCTATATAACTATCTATGTCATGGACCCTGTTAAATCACCAGGCCCACACAACAAGGTTGCCATATCGCAACCATTTCGTTTGGAATTCCTAATTGAGTGTCATTTCGCCCTTAGATGGAAAGTTTTTACGATGATCTACTGGTAGGTACATCAAACATTTGTATAAAAAAATTATTTGGGGAAAAATGATAATTTGACAACTGTTTTTCAGAAACAAAATATATATAGGGTGATCTATTTAAAAAATCAAACCTAATGGCATTTCCGATTAAACCGGAAGTCAGTCATTTTATTTAAATATTCAAAATTATGTCTAGTTTTGTTCCAAATTTGATCCAAATCGTTTAATAAATAAAAGAGAAATTAATAGTCTCATTTTCACCCCGTATGCAAAAAAATTGATATAGATATTTTTTTCAGATTTTGTCCTTTTGTCTTTTGTATTTGTCTTGCATTCCATAGGACAACTGTAACTACTCAATTTGTACCAAATAAATCAATTATTATATCATTTATACTCTTTTTTTCTAGGTTTTTTATAAAACTAATTTTTTAAACACGTGTCGGTATCACGCATGCTAGGCTAATGCTAATACACCTGTATGTTACGTCAGTCCACTAATAAAAATAGTTCAATTCTTCAATTAAATTAATTGAAACGAAAGGATTGTATTTTTTACAGCAGTCAACTCACTTGATTGGTACTATACAAACATGGAAAGTACCGAGTAAGTACACAATTCAAATGTTTTAATTAAATTTATCATGAATATATTGTGATGTTCGTAAATAATATGTTATCTCAAATTTATTATTAACAACGTGACCGATGTTATTTATCTGCCTCTGTTGTAATGTCCCCAGCAGAGTTTTATCTCGTATAATGTTTAAATTATTTAACTTATTGACTATCTTTGTTTTTGAAAAAACCTTTTCCGGACCATTTAACAGTTTTAAAAAGTAGGTATTTATTTATCTACATTCTGTAACATCAACACACCTGTTTTGAATACCTATAACCTCCAAATACCAAATTAACCTAATTACTGATATGCGAAAATTTTTACAAGCATTTTCAGCGATATGTTTTCGTTAGTTTTAAAATGAGTATATACACAAAAGTATTTCCCTTGTTAGTGAGGAATGCCCCAGTTTTTAATAAAAATGTACCAAATAATATTAAGAAATTCATTCGTTTTGCCATAGTAAGGTATGTTAATTTTTATGGTTTTGATTTATTTTTTATTAAATTAAAAGGGTTTTATAAAATATAACCACTCATGTATGAGGGGGTTACGAAAAAAATACCCCTAAAATAAATAATGTAAATGTTTTTATTTTTTCAATTAAACGCTTAAAGTATTATAAATAATAATTATATAAATAAATAAATAGTATTTAAGTGTAAGAATTTAAAGTTCCTATATATGTGTGCAATGGGTGCCAGTGTGAAGGCCTAGCTAGATTGAGGTTTCTAATAATATGCGAAGAAAAGCCAGATGCATGGAACTAGGTGCGGGAGCCTGTCAAAGCTACTAAGTCTAATAAAAAAGACCAAATGATTTGTTTTATTAGGTATATTTTATTTTAAATTTCATGTTATTGTTTATTTAAATCCCAAATTCAATAATTAAGGACATGTCCTATAAAATTCGTTATTTAGACCTTTAAATACTATAATACCATCCTAAAGGCTCAAATACTAATTGAGAAATAGAATTTATTCATCTTTGAGAATTATACACTATACAAAGACACTAGGTACATAATGTAAAATCCTATCAGACTAGTCAAAAAAGTGTTAAGTAAAATACATTTAAAAATAAAATATATATATAATAGACAATTCATGTTAAGATTAGTTTATTATTTACAAGAAAATCATTAAGATGTTTTCCTAAATCATTATGACTAATTTGATGATAACCTGTATTATCTTCTAATATCTTACTGAACTTATTGTAACACTTAATCCCAATATATTTTGGTGAATGCTGGCTTATTTGTAGTCGTGAAAAAGGTTGATGGATGTTAAATTTTAATCTAGTATCATATGAGTGTAGGTCTTTATTTTTCTTAAATATATGCTCATAATCTTTTGTCTAAAATTAGTTGAAAAATAAAAAGGGAAGGTAGTGTTAAAATTTGCAGTTTCTTGATAAGTTCTTTACATGATGTTGGTGTCACCTTATACATGGCTCTCAGAACCTTCTTTTGAGATACAAAAGCTCTTTCAAAGTATGGTGAAGAACCCCAAAATATTAACCCATATTGGAGAGTTGAATGAACCAAACCAAAATAGCATAGTTTTAAAGTATCAAAAGATAATGTCTCCCTTAAATTTTTGATGATATAACAACAAGTACTTAATTTTGAAGTTAACATTTTTATATGAGCTTCCCAATTTAATTTGGGATCTAATATTATTCCTAAAAATTTTATGTCATCAACGCTTTTTCCTTCAACATGCAAGTAGGGTTCGTAATCTGGTAATATGTTTTTGGGTAGAAATTGCATGAAGTTTGTTTTTGTTACATTTAATGCCAGACCGTTATCTTTATAATACTAGTTAAACTCACGAGATGCCTCGTTGCTACTTTGAGTGACCTGTTCAATTTGATCATCTGCCATTACAATATTGGTATCATCGGCATATTGAACTATTTGTTGAGATCTTAAACAAAAATTACTTATATCACTTATAAAAACTATAAAAAGAAGTGGGTCCAAAATTGAACCTCCTATTGTACATGGAAGAGGATTAGATTTTAGACTATTTGTTAAAATTACTTGAGTTTGATTTATTAAGTAAGACTGTATCCATTCATAAGGTTTCCCTTGTATTCCTAACAAATTCATCTTCAATAATAAAAGATTATGATCCAAATATGTTTTTTTATCATTGAATGCTTGATATATAAACTCTAGGCAAGCTGCAATTGCAGTAGATGTTGACTTATTTTTTCTAAATCCATTTTGAGTATCTGGCAACATATTAAAACTTTCAAGGTAATTAGTGAGTCTAATAGCGTATGCTGACTCAAATATTTTAGTTATTTGACTAGATATACAGATTAAACGATAATTTTCTATATTAGATGCAGATCCCTTATTTTTATAAACAGGAATTCCTTTAGATTCCTTCATATTTGGGAATAATCCCGAAACAAAGGATTCATTAATCAAATGTGATATAGGTTCAGCAATACAATGAGCAACCGATAACAGAATTTTACCATTTTTTTTCGTCAATACCTTCAGTGGGTTTAGAAGCAGTTTTTTTGATTATAGTGATGATTTCACTAGGAGTTGCTGGAAAAAGAAAAAACTTTTATAATGTTTTTCAATACTCATAGTATAGTTAGGTACAATATTATTTTTATTTACATTAATAAAAAAGTCATTGATATAATTTACTTTTTCTAAGGGTGTTAATTTGTCATCATTTGTAAGTTTAATAGGATTCAATAAGTTGGTTTTTTCTTTTTCCCCTACTCCCGTTTATTATATTCCAGGATTCTTTCATTACGTTATTACTTTTTAAAATACGATCATTATTTTTTCTTCTCAAATATTGTTTTGTTATTTTTTGATACTCTTTTTTTAAATTATTGTAACGTTCTGTATAATATGTAGAATTTATTTCTTTCTTTAACCTGTTCATTTCACATAATATATTATGTAATAACTCTTTAATATGAGGTGGAAACTGATTTTTTAATTTTTGTGGTTTATCACTTTCCTTGTTTTCGTAAATACAATATTGTAGTGGTATAGGAATGATTCATAAAAGATAGAAAATTTATCATTAAAATTAGTAGATGTGTATACTTCACGCCAATTTTCAACTGATAAAATATTTATAAAAGTTATTGCGTTAGGATCACTTAAATCTCGTTTATATCTGTATTTAAATTCGTTATTTTCAAAATTAGGTAGTTTAATCGAACATAATAAGTAGTTATGATCAGACAAAAAAGTATCATATACACCCATCTTATCTACATCAAAATTGGTAAAAATATGATGTTTAGTATTAAATTCCTTCAATAAGTCAATTAAAACAGTTTTTTGATTACCTTCAATCAAAAAATCTACGTAATATCACCACATATAAAATAGTGATTGTCGTTTTGATAAATATTATGAATTAATAGCTCTAGCTGATTTATAAAAGTGCTAAACTTAGTACAAGGTGGCTTATACACAGTAATAATAAATAAAAAAAGTTTAGAATCGATCTTTATTTTTCCACCACATACTTCAAATTCACCTTCTATACACCACTTACGTAAATTAATTGATTTAAAATTTGCAGCAATACTTGTTTTCATAAATATACTGGCACCACCTTTTTCTTTATTTATCCGTGAAAAATATGATACTAGCTTAAAATCGTCAATTGAGACATACCAATAAAACTGCCACAATGTTCTTCACAAATAGTTTATAAATAATTACCTATAAATTGGGTTGAATGCCATTTGTTAGTGTCTCGGGGTGATCCATCAATGGATCGATTCTTGTGCATGCCTATTTGTATATAGTCCACTATACAAGAGAAATATTTTATTGAAGTTCATGGTTAAATTTAGTTAGGACTTGTTTGAACTTTGTAGGCTACTGTTCGATGAATCCAAATGTTCGATTGGAGCCTAATTCATTCCAGAGTGGGATAAGATATATTTCTGTGTATCAGCTTGACGGTATGATGGCATACTGCATAACTGTATTATATTTTCTACCAAGCATATTTATAAAACTTGAATAGCTAACTTTAACTTGTGTCCAAAAGATAACTATTTCTAGTGGAGTTATCTTATAGACGTAAGTTGTTTTTTTATCGTAAAACTCACTGATAACAATCTTTGAGAAGAATTTGTTGATGGCTTTGTGAAACTGGAAGCATTCAGCTTAATTTGATTAAATTTTAATTAACACACTATATAATTATCACCTATTTTAAATACAAAAATGAAATAATATATAAATGAGGTATTTACAAAATTATTTCAGTACAAAAAAAAAGCTCATTTCTCAGTTTTCATTTGAATTTATTTTCATTAAATAAAATATTTATTTCATGCAAAGCATATTTTTATATTTTCTAAATGTTTATAAATATGGGAATTTTTATCCTCAAACACTTTTTATTTAAAATTCGAAAGACACTAAATTAGTGGTTCCCACCTAATCGACACATCCACGAGGGTAAAATTGTAGTGTAAAAAAAAAACGAGAAATGGTTTGATTTGATAATAGTATAAAGATAAAGACGTTGAATTTTCAGGTTTGTGAAGCATTGCCATAACTTACGATTGTCACAAGCCTTGATTTTTAAAACCATTCCATTTCGCCTTTTGATTAGGGTTTACAACTTATTCGAACAATTTATCTAATAATAATTGGCCCTTTTACCTCTTATGCCTGATCATATAAAATATTTGGGCTCTTTACTTCTCAAGCTTATTTATCTAGAAATATTTGGTTCCTCTTAAATCTGTCTTTGTAAAATTATATGATTCCTTTACCCTGCTCATGTAAAAATATATATTTCCTTTGTCCCTTAGACCTATCCATGTAAAAATATTTGCACCCATCAAAAAGCGGAAATATCTTTCCTCATTTTGAAAAATTTATTAATAACAATTCGTTGGGCAGTGCATTTACGATCTGATAGTTTAAAAATAGTAGTGATGGCGACTACTGATGGATTTTTTACATATTTTTTTTAGAAATTATCGGCAATTATAAATTTTTGAGTTATTTATGTCTTGGTTTTGGGCAAATTTACTAAAAAAGCTAATCCAAGGTTTCGTAAATCACTAATTTTCATGCAATACATCTCATTAGCCCGACAAGCGTCCATTATTCCCATTATTAAAGACCTTAAGAACAAACCGAACACCTTGAAACATTTTAAAGGCATTTTACGACTTTATTTTTAGTCGGATTTTTGTGAAATTTTCAAGAAGTACTAATAATTACCAAACTTAGGGTGGAGAAACCTTGAATTTTTTTTAAACCATCGATAAATATTTATTTTGTTAATTTTTAAATGGAAAATTAAAAAAAAGAAGATTCCGCGCCATTCAGTATTAAATCTATGAAAATTTGCTGCTTTTGTTTTAATAAATATCAAGTAGTTTTTAAATAAAATGCTTTCCCACCTTTTCCTAAAATGTCTCTGCAGAGTACTGCCATATCGTTGCAGAAATTTAAAGCGCTCAATTCTACCGAGAAACAATCAATCGCGAAGTATTTCCAGTGGCGCACTTGTAAATACAATTTCATGTTTTTAATATAATTAAAATTTCATACAAGGTAGTCAAAAATCTTGTGACTACCTACAAAGCCACACAAATAAAAATTATTATTGTTACTATTATTCAGTAAAAGTTTTCGTCCTTTAAATGTATTTGTGAGTGTGAGGTTAGTGAGAAGAGGACGTGCCAAAAGGAAACATTAACTTCTTAATTTGCCGACGTTTATACGTTTATTTTTCGTCTTTTTCAAGGCTGAAAATACATAATAGGTTTTAATAAAAAAATGTAAAAACTATGAGATTTACATAGGTGTCAATATATAAATGGTATATAGATATATATACAACGTAAATGCCCAGACAACACACCAAATCCCAGAGATATCCACAGAATATCTTTTGTGGATATCCAATATATCCACAGGATATCAGAAATATTCCGTGGATCTATTATGGATATCCAAATGTCCGTCTATATCCAGAATATAGAAGATATCCTAATGGATATCCAGCAAAATATCTAATGGGTATCTTCCAGAAAATACAAGAAATATCCACAGAATATATTTTGTGGATATTCAATATATCCAATATGGATATCCAACCAAATGTCTGTCTATATCCCAGGATATAGAAGATATTCGGATATTCAGCAATATATTTTATCTTTAGTAGAAGTTCATAAGTAACCAATGATTATTGAATAACGTCGAAAAAAAATAGCAGAGATAAAAAATATTTTCAACACTCAAAATATTTTCAACACTCTGCCTTTGATTTTGCCCACTAAGGAGAAAGTCATCCTTACTAGGACTCTTCAGCAATAAATGGAAATTCTCGACTCCAGTCTCTAATGGAGTCTGATTAGAACACAAGTTTCGATCGTACTCAATTACGGCGGGTAACCAATAGTGCATAAATATATAGCATTTTAAGTGAGAAAATAAAAAATAGGTAAAACTATAGTGGATAAAATCTTTAAACGGACGTTCAAAATTGTTTAAATAATTTTACATTTAAAAGTGACACCAATATAAAAAATATGTGGTTTCACAGTTGACAGGCATGGCCAAGCATTATTCTGATTTTACTATATTGGAGTAAAATAAGCCCCATAAGAAATTCATGGTATTTTAAGAACATTGATATTAAAGTAGTTAGGTTGAACCGAAAATTCTGAAAGTCAGTAGGATTCTAAGTTAGAAGCAATTATTTAAGAAAATCAATCAGATCTTTCTTTCTAGAGTTATCGTACCAGACGAATTTTTTTTTGCATTTTCGGACTCGGAATGATCGGAAACGTGAAAAAAGTCTTTAAAAGTCTGCACGAATGCAAACTGAGAGCCCATAGGAAGGGCCTCAGGAATACTCAAAATAAATAAGGAAATTAACCATTTTTTATTTTTTCATTTATTTTGAAATATTTAAAACTATAGCAGCTTCATAATATTCATCTCTACCAGTAAATCTAATCGACAAATGTATATTTTTAAAATCCACGCTTCCGAAATAATAGTCCTTAAAATTCTTTAAAATATCTACAGCATCAAAACTTTCTTGTTTTTCTTCGGGTTTCCTGAAACTCGAATTCATAAGAGTCACGTGCAATTTCACTCTATCATATTGCTTTCTGGATAACCCGGATTTATAAAAATATTCAGCTATGGTATCAGAAATATTTTGGAAATGTTCATTATGTTCCTCGTTGTCCATATGGACATTACCATATAAAACGTTTACGCTAGTCGGGTCGTCATTCATGATTTCTAAACCCTTTAAATGAATTTTGTAATGTTTATCTCTTTTAAAAAGTTTACTTATGTATTCTTCATAACAAGTTGTAAGAACTTTTTTCGCAGTAGCTACTTCCTCTTCATCGACCAAAGTTAGAGTGCTAATGGTAAGATGTAACTTTTCAGGCTTTTGAAACAACGATTCTGTTACCCCTCTACTGGGATCACTTAAGATTCTTTCTTGAAACCTCTTCAGTTTTAATTTAATTTCATCTGACACCATTGGTATTGATACGAAATGGCTAATAGATAGCTTGTCTTTTCTTTGCATTACTATCATTGATATTTGTGTCCGTGCTGAAGCTACTTTTCTTTCCGTGTCACCTGTTACCTTTACATTACCTTTTTCGTTTGGTTTTGGTACTTTTATTTGTGTATTTGTGGTTTGTTCCAAACTTCTTAATCTACTAGCTTTTGCGCCAACGATGTAAGAAAGTAGACTTGAAGGTACATAAAATGACGTCATGAACTTCCCAGTTTTTGTGAGAATGATATCATAATTTTCATCTACGTCCTCACAGTCCACCAGACCTACGTCGTTGTCATTATATGGTTTCAGTTGTGGTTGAAATGACGACTCATTTCCTTTTGAGGCTAATGATGTCATCCAATATGTTGTATTGCCAAAATTTAAAGGTGTTACATCTATTGCAATCGGTCCTTTTTCCGAGAAAAAATCGGGAAAATCTTTTCTTTTGCTCTCTTGATACATTGTATTTTAAGTATCTGAAAAAAAAAAAAAAATAATCATTAGAAGTTTATTGCTAAACTAAAAAAAGCTTTAATATGTTCATAAGAATTTCTGATAAGTCATGAGATGATTTCCCAACTAGGTCGAAACCGGTCATAGACTAGCTCCTAAATGACAAAGGTCGTGAGGTTATGTAAACATGGTCGACAAACTTTTTTTCTCAAACATTGATAATCGATATACATTTTTGTTTAAAAGCCTTTATAGATTTATAGTACAAAATAGGCCACATAATCTATCGCAGTTATAATTTCTATTTAGAATGTTTCTATTGTTGGAATGTTCCTTAGAAGGTTACTGGATGGATACATAACATGCTCTCAAAGCGAGCAGTAAACATAAGTGTAGAATATGTGAATATGAGACTTGGTTGCGAGGAGAAGTCCATAGAGAGGGATACTATCATCTCTATTATGGAACATGGTCCTCGACACCATCGTTAGCCGCCTTAAGAATGACAGTATCTACACAAAAGCGTATGCAAACGAAATTTAAAGAAAATACTCTGCGAAAAATGCATTTACCCCTCAAAATTATAGAATAGTGGTGCCAAGGACCATTTACTGTATCAACCTCAAGAAGCCAGAAATCGTCCTTTTCACAAGAAAAACATAGAACTCACATCTAGAAAAAACATACGTTGCTAATGTATAATGCCGCCAAACCGTGGGGCGTACTTGGAATTTCTCCCCCAGAGTTGTTACATGGACTTACATGGTCATCATAAGACCTATGCTAACATACAGTGCAGTTGTATGGGTATCGAAAACTCAACAATTGACAGCTATCCGCAAACTAGAACATATTCAAAGAACATGTCCAACATAATAGGAGCCATGAAAACCACAACAACCACAGCCATGGAACTGATTCTTAGTCTCACTCCTCCTGATATTTACATTTAAAAGGTTGCTCTGATGACAATGACACTACTTTGCACAGTTGGAATATAATCTGATGTAGGATCTGGTAAAGCAAGACGTCGCTTTTGGCGGAAGGCGCTCTATAAGCTTCCACTGCTTCAAGTGAACATGGGACTCCATCTCACCGATATATATCTTCTCTAAGCTATATAAAGTTATAAAGGAACAAATAGAAGAGCCGGAAGTAGCAGATACGATTCATATCTACACCGACGGTTCTAAAACAAAACAAGGCTCAGGATGTGGAATATACTCCAGATCCTTAAACTTAAACATAAAATGGACTGTGAGCAATAGTGCCAGTGCAGTTTAAACCGAGCTCACGGGAATTCTCATAGCAGCACAAGAAATTACCAGAAACAACATCACTGGAAGGAACATGCTCATCTATACAGATAGCAGACTACTTACCCTGGACAGACTTTGAATATACTTAGGGCTAGTACTTGAACATCAGGAAGCTTTGGCTGAAGTATCAGCAATGTGTTCACCTTAAGATGGATCACAGGTCACGTCACATCGTGGAGATTCAGTGGCCAAGAAGGCAGCCAACCAACTACCTTTTAGACCTGGGCCCTTTGATTGCACTGAACATCGGTAGTGACAAACCTAATTAAATAACATTCCTTTGTGAAATTCAAGGAAATATGGAATGTAATAAGATGCTGCAGAGTTGCTAGGGAGTTTTTTTAAGTTATCCCGACAACACTAGAGAAAATAAATACTTGACTATGACTATACAGAATCGCCTGATCACAGGCATCGAAGCACCTCTCGGACGCGTTGTCAACTGCATCAAATCTGTAGGCTGGCTGACGAACTAAGAGGGCCTATCAATTTAGGAGGATGCAGAATGAGTCTAGTGAGGCCTAAGTGTCGTGGGGAAACCCATCCTCCATACGTTACAGATATACATTTTTGTTTAAATACCTTCATTTGTTTAGAAACTGTTATAATTTCTCCTAGAATAATAGTATACCTATTACTTGTAATAAATTGACTGATCCTTAGACCATAAAACGTTATGAAATAAAATTAATAAAACCAAAAAAAATATATCCTACTTAAAATCACAAATAATTAGGTACCTTGTATTTTTCAACTAAAATTCTAGTACCTAGTTTATAATAAGTAAAAATACTTTTAAGGTCATATAAAATAATGAATTGATAAGATTTTGTTTATTAAACCGTTACGAACGTCTGAGGAGGTGTGTCATAGAGATAACATGTTGTAACTCTAGACGTCAAATTAGTTTATCATCGGGAATAATAACGATTTATATTTATAAAAGTTTTAAGTACGAATCTCGTGCAATCATCAATATCAATAATTATTAGATAATCCTTAATACATTAAAAATTGTTTTTGCCTCAACCGGAATGCATGCAATCATCGATATCGATAATTATTAGATAATCCTTAATACACTAAAAATTGTTTTTTGGAGTTAATTTTTCAAGGAAGATAACAAAAGGGGAGACAGCTCAATAACTGGTTTCCCAAAATCGCCCTGAACAAATTAATGTTAATCAGGCAATTAGTGAAAAAAAAAACATTAGCAAGAAACAATTGTCTACTCTGCCTCAGTCGCAGTATGTGAACAGAAGATGAACAATCAACTGTGTTATTCTTTTATATTGTTGTATATGACATACAGTCTAGTAAATAATAAATGAAATTAGTCATTTATGGTTTCCCGAAACTCAATATCTAGGAGTTTTGTGTTCGGCGAGTATTAGCTAACACTGGTCAACATAAGAGAGGTGCGACTTTTATGACCTCGTAATTGTCAGTTATGCCAAAAATATCATTGGCTAGGTTTTGGGGTTACTGGCACTGAACTGTTACTGGCGACGTGACTTTTAACCCCAACTGGTGACATCAATTTGGTCACGTGTTATACGAGTATTAATGAAGAATGTACTACTCCTCCAGCAACTGCTAATATCTTTAAATATTCTTCTACTTGTTGTGAATACTTTACCCTTGGTATTCCCCTTCCTCTATTTAGAAAATTTATATTCAATACTTTCTTCACTATATATAAGTCCCTCCCATTTTCCAGATATATGAAAGCCTTCTTATTTTTAGGGCTTTCATTATTTTTGTTATCATAGGTTCTTTATATAATAATTCTTTATTGCACATTTACTTTTTTCCCCAAAAATGCGTCTCAGTACCTTCCTTTCCCATATCTCCAGTGTATGTATCATATCTTGGTTAAAGCCCATGTAACACAAGCCGTGGTTACTATCGGTTTAATAATTGCAGTATTATATACTTTTACTTTGGCGTATCTTGAAACATTTTGTGATTCTAATAAGCTCATTAGCCTTCCCGTCCAACATAAGGTACAGAGTACTTTAATTTAGTTGTGTCCCTTGGTGATTTAATTGATTTCACTTTTTTAAACCGACTGAAAATTTTCAGAGCTCATTTTTTTGACCTTGTTAGTTAAAAAGATAATTATTATTATTTGCCTGTGTTACCTTTATGCAGAAAAAAATGATTAGAAAGTATTAAAATTTATGATAAATAATTTTATAGACCTATATAACAAAAAAGTTTAATTATATCCGGTATAAATCGAATGGGTGAATGGCAACAAAATTAGTATTCTTAGAAAACAGTCCACAAAGTTTCAAACATTGCATTTAAAATTAATCTTTTTTTATTAAATATTTACATACATAATTGTAGTTTTTTATCCTGTATTAGGATTTGTAGATTGCATTTGTGTAGGCTTAAAAAGACTCTAATTATCAACATTAAAAGGCAGATGATACATTTTTCTGTAAACAAATTATTCAGAAATATTCAAATATTTTCGTAAATACAGAGAGACTACTTTTGGTAATAGATATCGACATAACACCTTCATTTGGATACAAAAGTCAAATGACAAAATGTTAGTGAGTTATAACAATATTTTAATTAAATAGTTAACCCTGTAGTACCTCCATCTTAACCTCCATACACAAATCAGAAATTCCGAGATTTTACTATCCAAGATATATCCTGTATCGCACCATTTATGTCTAGTCGAAAATAACAGTAAAATATTTCGAAAACCAATTGTGTACAATTACAATATTATTGAATAATATTTTCATTTTTATTGCGAAATATTTAAATACGCATGTTTTTGGACATACCTAGTCATAAAAACATTCTATAGTCGAGATAAGATCGGAAAAATGATAACATATTTTATTCACCATTTAATATTGCCTCTACCAATGATAGTATGAAAATGTGACGAAACACGTCAAATTACAAGGGGGACCATTCTTGAGGCATTTATTGTATTACTTTCAATTCACTGACCCCCAGGGCACCTATCCCTAAAATTTTAAATGGCAATCCCTATTTCTTTTAGCATTTTTGTGTTCCTTTTGTAATTCTAGATAAATTACATTATTATTTTTTTTTTGTCAAAATTGAAGTACCTATCTAACCTCACAAATGTGTGGAATGTATTTAATATCTAAATTTAAATAATGCAACTTCTTAAAACTGGTTGCATTCACCACTCACAGCACTTCAATTAAAATACTATAGTTTGTGCAAAACAAAATTTAATGCCTACAGAATTTAATTTAATATTAACAAGAGATGATAGAAAATGTTAGAAAGCAGAATTGAATCATACAAGAAAAATATACATCTAACTTTGTTTTGCACAACCTATACATACCAAATTATTTTATTTATTTACACTTCGCCCCTACAAAACATGAAATAATTAAAAATTTTTGTGCGTCTTCGAACAACTAAGATTCTCGTTTTGCTTAGTACTAACATTATTTACAATTGATTATTTTATTTATTTGCTGTGCTTCGTCGATTAGTAAAATAAGCTGTGAAAGTTATTTACATCATATATAAACAATTTTAATAGTTTTCAATTGTCGTTTCTTAAGTTGTAACCTTTTTTAAAAATGGTTTACACTATTGTTGAACGCGTAGGAATAATTCCAAAATCGTTGCTTTACAAGAACGGCGGCCATATTTAACGAAATACATCAAAAAATG